AGGACCCATTTTCTGACCAATAAAAACGCGAGTTGGAAATTTGCTGGTTACTTATGAGTATAATTTCGCTGCGCGCGATGGGATTGCGAATAAGAAATATGGTTTAGTCATGTCGTAAGCGCTTCATGTCATGCCATTTCGCACTTTTCGCGCCAGGACCTTCTTTCTGACCAATAGGAACGCGACTTTCAAGTTCTTTGGTTTTTTCGAACAAGTTCAAGGGGAACTAAGAGTTACCTTGCTTCATTACTGTAGACACTACTACAGCCAGAATCGCAGCTGACTGACGATCGATGGCTGATTGAGGGTGAAGAGCATCGAGTTGATGGGATTGTCTAAATAGTAGAATTTGGTAGGCTATCTTCAAACAAATTTTTTTTCAAGATTCACAACTGGTGGTGATTTGGTTCTCTTCTTCTACCCCCCTTCCCCTTCCAAGTCCCTTGAATAAATATAACCCGAGATTTGCAAGTTGCAATTGACGATTTGCATCTAGATCAGATAGGAAAGTGCATATCGCCATAAATTAGGCGTCGATGTAGCCGAGAGATCCTAGGCGCAAAGTTCGGATCTCTCGACTTCTTGGCGGCCACCACGTTGGCCAACGCCCTTTCATTATCTGCACGTCTCCAAAGTCGGTATGTGAGAATAGCGCAGAGAAGCAAGTGAAAGTTCGAAAAGAGAGAAATGTGAAAATATGCCGAAAATTTGTGCTCAAGGGACAGGTTTTGCTGTCGCCGGCCATTGCTAAGAACTGGGTTTTGCAAATTCCTTCGGTCAAATTATGAGATAGTGGACATAGCGCTACCGTAATTCAAACGTGTTTTTCGTGGCGGGATCCATTTTTTGACGAATGTAGCGCGAGCTAAAAGAAGAGCTGTGGTTATTTGACCGTTACTTCGAAAGATGTAAAAGTTTGGTGGCCAAATCCATTTTTTTGACCAATAGCGCGAGTGGCAGCTTTATTTGGCCGCTTTGATAAGAGATCGAGTGACTGAATGTGAACGATACTGTAAAAGGTGTAGTTCGTGGCAGGACCCATTTTGTGACCAATGGGAGGGCGAGTTACGAATTTTGTCCTGGTTGTGTTCTTAGCAGAGGTGTGATGGTTGAAAACTAAGAAATAACTGAAAGTATATTGTGATTTTGATGCGTGCGCGGTAGGACCCATTTTTGACCAAAGGATGAGTTGCAACACTGCTTGGCTAATAATTCAGTAGGGGCATTGTGTCAGTGGTAGCGCGAATAGCAAATATTGGGGTATTGGTTC